TTTCTAGGTCTTTGATCCATTTCGAGTTGATTTTTGTGCAGAGTGAAAGATAAGGGTCTAGTTTCATTCTTCTACATATAGATAACTAGTTTTTCTGGCAGCATTTATTTAAAAAGCTGTCTTTTCTCCAATGTATGTTTTTGGCACTTTCGTCAAGAATCAGATGATTGTAGATGTGTGGGTTTGTCTCTCCTGTATTTTGTACCATTGGTCTGTGTGTCTTGTTTTTATGCCAATACCATGCTATATTTGTTACTATACATTTCTGTAATATAATTTGAAGTCAGGTATTATGATGCCTCTAGCATTGCTTTTATGGCTGTGAATTGCTTTGGTTAGTCTGGGTTTTTAATTCTTCCAAATTATTTTAGGACAGTTTTTCCTAGTTCTGTGAAGACTGTCATTGGTCTTTTATTGGGAACTGTATTGAGTCTGTGTAATGATTTTGGTAGTATGACCATTTTAACAATATTAATTCTGCCTACCCATAAACATTGGAGGTCTTTCCATCTCCTGAGGTCTTCAATTTTTTTTCTTCAGTGTTCTGTAATTTTCATTGTAGAAGTCTTTTACCTCCTTGGTTATATTTGTTTATTTTTTTGAGGCTATTGTGAATAGAATTTTCCTGATTTCTTTCTCAGTGCATTCATTGTTGGTATATAGGAAAACTATTGATTTTTTTTCAGGTATATTTTATTTATTCTTTTATTTTTCTTTGTACATGACAGTAGAGTATATTTTGACATATTATACATACATGAAGTATAACTTATTCTAATTAGGATCCCATTCTTGTGATAAAGCTACTGATTTTTGTATGTTGATTTTATAACCTGATACTTTGCCAAATTTATTAGCTCTTACAGTCTTTTAGTACAGTTTTTTGGATCGTCTAAGTAAAGGACCATAACATCTGCAAATTTGACTTCCTTTCCTATTTTTATCCCTTGTATTTCCTTCTCTTGCCTAATTGCTCTTGCTAGAATTTCTAGCACTATTCACCTAGGAGTGGTGAGAATAGACATTCTTGTCTTGTTCCAGATTTTAAAGGAAATGCTTTTAGTTTTTCCCCTTTTACTAAGAGGTTGAATTTGGGTTTTTCATATAGAACCTTTATGATGTTGAGACAGGTTCCATCTCTTCCGTTTTTCTTCAGTGTTTTTTTTTTTTTTTTTATCATGAATGGGTGCTGAATTTTGTGTAAGGCCGTCTCTGCATTTATTGAGAAGACTAAGTGTCTCTCTAATTCTATTTATGTGATGAATTACATTTATTGATTTGCATATGTTAATCCATCCTTGCATGACTGGAATAAAACCAACTTGGTCATTATGTACAATCTTTTTAATAGGTTATTTAACAGGATTTGCTAATATTTTGTTAAGTATTTATGTATCTAAGTTCATCAGGGCTATTGATCTGTAGTTTTCTTTCCTTGATGTGTCCTTATCTGGTTTTGGTATGAGTATGATACTGGCTTTATAGAATGAATTTGAAAGTGTGATATCTCTTTCTATTTTATGGAATAATTTGAGGAATACTGGCATTAGTTCTGTTTTAAAGGTCTGGTAGAATTCAACTGAAAATCCACCTGGTCCTGGTCTTGGAAAGTTTTTTTTCATTGCTTCAATCTCATTACAAGTTATTGGTCTGTTTAGTTTTCTATGTCCTTTTGATTCAATTTTGTCAAATCATATTTGTCTAGAAATATATCAATTTTTTTCTAGGTTTTTCCAATTTATCGGAGTATACATTTTCAAAATAGTCCCTAATGATCCACTGGATTTCTGTGATGTCTGTGGTGATTTCTCCTTTTTCATCTCTAATTTTTATTAATTTGGGTCTTTTTTCTTTTGGTTTGTTTGGCTAAGGACTTATTAACTTTGTTTTTTCTTTTCAAAGAAATAACTCTTTTTTATTGATCCTTTGTGTTTTAAAATATTTATTTTTTAGTTATAGGTAGACACAATATCTTTATTTTATTTTTATATGGTGCTGAGGATCAAACCCAGGGCCTCCTTCATGGTAGGCTAGCGCTCTACTCTGAGCCATGACCCCAGCCTTATGACCCCAGCCTTTGTGTTGTTTTTTACGTTTTCAACTTCATCTCTAATCTTAATAATTTCCTTCTTTCTACTGGTTTTGCAACTCATTTGTTCTTATTTTTGAAGGGCCTTGAGATGCATCATTAGATTGTTTATTTGGGATCTTTCTGATTTTCTTATGTAGACATTCATAGCTATAAACTTTTGTTTTAGACTGCCTTCACAGTGTCCAGAGGTTCTGATATGCTGTATCACTATTCTCATTTAAGTTTAAGAATTTTTAATGTCTCCCTTGTTTTCTTCTACTACCCATTCATCATTCAAAAATGTATTGCTTCATCTCCATGTATTTATATAATTTCTATAGGATTTTGTTGGATTGAATTCTAATTTCATTCCATCGTGATCTCATAAGATGCAAGAAATCATATTAATTTTTTTTTTGTATTTGCTGAAAGTTACTTTGTGTCCTAAAATATGGTCTGTTTTGGAGAAGGTTCCATGAGCTGCTGAGAAAGTATATTCAGCTGTGGTTAGACATCTATAGATGTCTGTTAAGTTCATTTGACTTATATTTGATTTATAATGTTTTTCAGGTCTATAAGTTCTTTACTGAGTTTATTGTGTAGATGGCTTATTTTGGGGGGAGAGGTGTGTTGAAATCACCCAGTATTATTTTACTGAGGTCTATCTGAGCTTCCATTTCAGTAGTGTCTCTTTTATTTGCCAGATGGGTGCTATGTATCCATTGGAAATAAAATGAACCTCAGTATTTCATACCAGTAATAAAAACTAATTTGAGGTAGATCATCTATTTCAATATAAAAGTAAAAAATATAAAATGTCTGAAAGACAATATGAGAGAATATTTTTGCAACCTTGGAGTAGTCAATGTTTTTTTCCTTTTAAGAAAGATTTCAGAACACCATGATAAAGCATAATAAACTGGGCCTCATCAAAGTTAAACACTTCTGCTCATCAAAAGTTATCATTAAGAAAATGTAAAGGCAGCCACATATGGGGAGAAAATATCTGCTGTACACACACACACACACAAGAAAAAAAAATTGAGAAAAAGACTTAAACAGATCCTTCATAAGAAAAAAGATCTGTGAGCGGCTAATGAACACATGAAATAATGTACAATATTAATCATCAGAAAAATGCAAGTTAAAACAATTTCATACCACTTGCCATTCAAAAAAATGGCTCAAATTGAAAACTCAGGAAATATCAAGTGTTTGTGAGAATGTCAAGCAACTGAAAATCATTCGTTGCTTGTTAAAGTGTAAAATGTTGGGATCACATAGGAAAACTGGCAGTCTCTTAGTCTATGATCCTACCAATTTCATTCCTAGGTATTTAGCCAAGAGTAATGAAAATATGTACCTAAAAGTGATGTGGATAAAAATGTTTATAGAAGCTTTATTTTTAATGATCCCAAACTGGGAACACCAAAATGTGCAACAGGGGATTTTGAACAAATAGATTGTTTTATTTTCATATAGTAGAATATTGTTTAGCAATAGAAAGGCAATAAGGTACTGATACATAGCATAACATGGATGAATCTCAAAATCATTATGTTAAATGAATGGATACTAACTGTTTATGAAATTCATGAACAGGCAAAACTGTATTGATAGAAATCAGAAGAGTGATGGTTTTAAGGTGGGGTAAGAGAACAAAAGGGAATTTCCTTGAGTGATGGAAATATACTTGATTCTATATTGGTTACATTTGTCATGCATTATACATTTGTTAAAGCCTATTCAACAGTACACTTATCTGTGCATTTTACTATAATTGAGCTGTAAAGAGTTTTATTTCCTACTAATTGATCCCTTTTTTCCCATTCAAAAGTGTGACTTTACTTCAAGGATCCTCTTTAAAACTTCTAATAATCTAAAATAAGTAGTACCTCTCTCTTTCTTCATTTTTCAATTTTTATTCTACTTATTTATATTATGCAATTTAAGAGTTAATCACTACTTTTTTGATTCTATTATCTGTTGTTTCTTGATGTTAAAATATGTCTCTAAACTAGATTTCAGCTACTGAGAAGAATGTATCAAAAACTCCGATATAGTCATGTATTTGTATATTTTTCCTGTTTTTTAAATTTTTGCTTCATGTTTTAAAATTGTTATGAAAATACAGGATTTTAGAATTTTTGTGTTGAATTGACCATTATGAAATGCCCCTTTTATCTTTAGTAATATTGCTTTAAAATCTGCTTTATCTGATTAGTATAGCTAAATAACTCTTCTTTTGGTTTTGTTTGGTATATGCAAAATATTTATTTTTATATGTTATATATGTATTTTTTATTTTCAGCCAGTCTTTATGCTGATAATTAAGATTTTTTTGTAATTAGCATGTAGTTGGATTTAATTTTGCAAGTCTAGGCAAGCAATCTTTGTTCTTTAATTAGCGTTTTTAGTCATTTTACATTTAACGTAATTACTGAAATTAGATTTAAATTGACCATCTATTTGTTACCTTTTTGCCTAATTTGCTTTTGTGTGTGTGTGTGTGTGTGTATGTGTGTGTGTGTGTGTGTGAGAGAGAGAGAGAGAGAAAGAGAGAAAGAGGGAGAGGTATACTGGGGATTGAACCCAGTGCATGCTAGGCCAGCATTCTATCACTGAGCTCCATTCCCAAACCTTCAATATGTTTTTTAAAAAATTGTTATTAATTGAATATTTGTTATTTCATTTTTGCCTGGAATGTTTGTTTTAGTTGTACATTCTTCCAGTATTATTATTCTGAAAATAACTTCCTTAAATATTTATGTTTCTTTACTTTTCCTATAGGGTCTAACAAATCTGGGAATCTAATAGATATATGTAATATATTCTTATAGATTTGCTCTGTTCCCTTAATAGTTTTAAAAGACCCAAAATGGTTTTCTTAATGCAGTATAAAGTAAGTTATTTTACCTATTGTTTTTAGAATCACACCCAGGAAATTTGATACTGTTCAAGCATCTGAGCATTACAAAAGTGGAATTATCACCAGTGATATTGGAGACTTAACTTTAAGCAAGAGGGGAATACGAACATCATTTACATTTAGGAAAGTGAGGCACACACCTTGTAACTGTAGTAAGTATATGATTTCATTTCTACTGTAAAATGGAGTAAATCTAGTATGGAAATCCTTTAAGGTCCCCTCAGTACCTAGGATAGCTTTTCCATAGCTTTTATAATGGCATTTCCTGTATTCTGCCTTGTATTTTACTTTTGGAATACTTTTCTGTACCACCTCCATTAGAGTATTCTTTGAAGTTAAGAACTCTTCTTATGATCTTTTTTTTTAAAAAAAATTTTTTTAGTTGTAGATGGACATACAATATCTTTATTTTTATGTGGTGCTGAGGATCGAACCCAGTGCCTCACACATGCCAGGCAAGTGCTTTACCACTGAGCTACTAGTCCTAGCCCCTCTTCTTATGATCTTTATTTTCCCCATACTTAGTTTTTTAAGCAGTTGAGTGCCAAGAAATACTTTATTTATTGAAGTAACAGTTTAGAGTATTAGAATTATGGGACAGTAAAATATCACTTGTACAAAAATAGGTTTTTGTTGAAAATAGCTTGTCAGATTTCTTCTTCTTCTTTTTTTTTTTTTATTAATCCAACAGGGAAGCTAGAGATGACAAATTGCTTTATGGTAGGTTACTATAGGGAATAAGCATTGGTTTATGGCTTAGTCTATTTGGAAACCTAGAAGGGACTAAAGGGAACTGCACAAAATTTGTCAAGAGGATACTGTTTTGAATTGTCTACATAAGTACATCATGCTTTCTTGGACTTACTTTACAGAGATTTTTTTCATTTTATAAATAAGAATTTTTAATAACAGTGATAGAATCCATTTTATATCTGGGGGGTTTCAATTATGGGTAGTATCTACCAGTAGCTTTTGAATTTAATCATAATCTTAAACATTTTGAATTAAGACTCCTCATTATGTCTACAAGATGTTAGCCTAACAGAAACTTGAAGTCTTCTATGTTTGATAATCTTGATGGTAGTGAAGCTTTAAAACAAGTTTTTGCCTATTTTGCTGAAAGTGTCCTAAGGGCCTTAAAATGTGAATTTTTAAATTAAAAATATTTATTATTATTTGGTAAGGATCTAGCACTCATCAAAGAAAGAAAGAAAGAGAGAGGGAGAAAGAAAGAAAGAAAGAGAGAAAAGAAAGAAAGAGAGAGAGAGAGAAAGAAAGAAAGACAAGGTTTCTTTTCTCAAGTAAAGTCTAGTTGTAGAGATGCTAGTTTTCTTATGCAAATGTGAGGGAAGTGCTAAGAAGCTTCAATTGGGTAATCAGTTTACAGATGTTTTTACAATAACAAAAATTGTATGTATTGTGTACCACATAATGTTTTGGAATATGTATACATCATGGAGTTGCTGAATTGGGCTAATTAGCAAATGAATTATATCACACACAATTTTTTGTGTGTGTGTGTGTGTGATGAGAGCACTTTAAATCTAATCTTTTAGCAATTTTCAAAAATACAACACATTGTTATTACCTATAGTCACCATGTTGTAAAATAGATTTCTTTGACTTATTCCTCTATGTAACTGAAATTTGGTATCCTTTGACCAACATTTGCTCAACTGCAATGAAACAAATGGAGACAGAAGTAAGATGCAGAGGCAAAAATGACTGCTGGTCTAAGTTGCCATCTTAGGTTATCATTAGGTTACATCAGGTCACTGGCACCATTGGTACATTATTTTTCTTTATATCATTAAGCAGCGTACATTAAGTTATAGTGTAAGATGTTCTTGCTTATGATTGGATATGTGCACTGGCCAAGCTTGTATTAGTTATCTTAATAGTTCCTGGGAAAAACCACAGAATGTTCCCTTTAAGCAGATGCAGAATTATATTTATATTTTTTTGTAAATAGATTTGCCCACTTCTTTTTATATTGAACTCCTCAAATATATAATTAGACTTGCAGGGAAGAATTTTGTTTTTTTGTTTTTTAACAGGTAAGTCAGAGCCTATGTATACCCAGTTCTGAAATTTGTTTTGATTTTCTTTTAAGAAAACTTGATAACTTTGAGTCATTTATAAAGATGAAAGGTTTGTATTGCCTTATTTTTACTTTTAGGTTATTCTTCTGTCTGTGACAGTCAGAGGAAAGAGACTCCTCCCTCATTTCCAGAGAGTGATAAAGAAGCCTCACAACTAGAGCAAGCGTATGTACATCGAGTTTATGAAGAGATTGCTGGGCACTTTAGCAGTACAAGACATACCCCATGGCCACGGATAGTGGAGTTTTTGAAGGCTTTGCCAAGTGGTTCCATAGTGGCCGATATTGGGTGTGGAAATGGGAAGTATCTTGGCATCAATAAGGAGTTATACATGGTAAGTAATGTTGCTTCTGACTTTCTTTTTGCTGTATTTGCAATGGTTATCATTATCTTTCTTCCTCATGATATACATTGTTTTTAGGCCATTGTAAAAAACTGATGATAAACAATGAAAATTAATTATTGCTTTCATTTTTAATTCCCCTAGAAATTTATGGGCATGGTATTTGGAAAAGATTTGGAAAATGTGGACTTGAAAGGCCGAAGTAAAACTAGGTCTAAGGAAGTTGTAGTTGTTAAAGACATTACCGCTACTGAAAAATGCTACAGGGACAGTAAGAAAGATGACTTGAGGGCATCTCAGGAGCTGGCAAGACCACACCCATCTAAAGCTTGAGAGAATAAAAGTAAAAATTCTCCTGAGGCCAGTGGGGAATCCTTCTTGTACCAGGGGGCCTCTTACAACATGATAAGCCACCTAGACACTTGAAAGCTGCTGCAGCCAGGGTCTCTGGAGGCTTTACTGCTCCTTGAAATGGTGACAGACCTTGGTGACAACCATGTGGTGCTGGTTCTGCAGAATGCAGGATGCTGGAGTTAGGGGGTCATGGAGGCTTCCACCAAGATTGCAAAGGAAGGTCTAGAAGGACAAACAAAGTGCTACAGGGTTGAAATTCCAGTGGGCAGCCCCGGAGAGGGCAAAGCATGGAGATAGGAGGAAGAAACCAAAGCTGCAATGGAAACCCCCAAGATTAATAAATGCCAGTAACATGGAACATCTGCTGAGGAAAGCTACAAGAATGGAGCAGAAAGAATCCAACAGAAAGGCCAGTTGTGTTGCAACAAATAAGGTCACCGGGGTAGAACTACCAAAGCCCTTTGGAGAGGACATCATGCCATGTACTCCAGATGCCTGACACAGAACTTGTTTGCCCACCTGGATTTCAGTCTTGCTTTGGTCCCATTCCTGCTTTCTATGTCCCTATTTTTGTAAATGGAGATATTTACTCAGTACTTTATATATTGGATATTTGTAAATTGCTTTTAATTTTACAGGAGCTTACAATGTGAGATTGCCTAAAGCCTCAGAGACCGCTTTGGACTTGAACTTTGAGCAATCTCAGAAATGTTGAGACTGTGGGCACTCTTGGGAATAGACTACATGTATTTCGCATTGTGAGATATTTGTGAGCTTTTGGGGGCCAGGGATGGAATGTTTTGGTTTGGATATAAAGGTGGCCCTCAAAAGCTTACAAGTGAGACAATGCTAGAATATTCAGAGAAGAAATTATCGGGTTATGAAAATCTTAACCCAATCAGTTTAATAGGAGAAAAATGGAATTTTTATATTAATTTGCACCCTTGATTAATAGCTTGAATTTTTGTGTGTGTTTACCTATGCTTCCAGAGTTGTATACTTAATGTTTTGTTGAAGATTAAATATATATAGGAGTAAAAAATCACATACTTTAATTTCAATACATACTTTTGTGTCATGATCTTTGTCTAACAGAAATATGTTAAAGAGACCTTGAATGTATGTTGAGTGTTTGCAAAATAAGCCATTTTCTCTTTGGTTGTTGTCATTAAGTAACATTATTAGGGAGAATTTCAAATACTTGACATTATCCTTGGTATTAAAACTTATATCAATTTAAAATAGAAAAGTTAAACAATTGTGATGTTTTGACTACCGTATATGGGAAACCCAGCAAAATAATGGAAATGTGAAAGTCGTGAGCCAGGTATGAGTCAGTGCCATGTCAGTGAGGAATCTATAATAGGTCTGGTGCTTTATTACTAAAATTTGCTGCACAGTTTCTTCTTGGTGAAAAGGAGTGGTATGAGCAAACAGACCTAAGAGCCTGACAAGAAGGAGAAAATTTCCTCTTGTTTTGTTTGGCTGCTGTTCTTGTTCTGTTTTTATCTGTGGTCCTCAAATAATAATTCTCCTCTTCTGAGTGACTATTGAGCCCTGTCTCTGAGGATTTGTTTTATAGGCAGGCTGGATTTTTTCCTGTTGGCTCTAAGTAAGGTTTAGCTGTCAGAATTGGGCATAATTGAAACTTCTGAGTCTGTGAACTGAATTTAAATGTAACAAAAGGTAGCAAGCACAAAAATATTCTCTCTCTCTCTCTCTTTCTGTGTGTGTTTGTGTGTGTGTGTGTGTACACATTGATATTGTAACTGTTGGCTGGGTGACAGAGAATATTGGCAAAAATAAATAAAAGCAGTAAGTCAGGCATGGATCTTAAACAGATAAGGAAACAATTGGGAATTATGCCACTGTTATTAATAGCCCCTTAGTACTTTTCCACCTTTAAGTATTTCACAGAAAATTGCAGTACTTTACCTCTAGCTTGGTGCCTTTTATTCCACTTCACAAATTAAAGCAGCTCTGAGATAGAATACAAAAGCTGTTAAAATGCCTATTAGAAATTCAGCAAATTCATTAAATATGATCTGCATGGCAGGCAATGTGATTTAATTGCTAAAGAATTATTTTGATATGAGAATTCATATTCTTTATTCTCAGGACTGAGAGAACCTCAAGGATCATGAGTAAATATTTTGAGCTGGCCACTTCTGTTTTTATTAAATCTTCTTTTACAATTCTTTTCCTCATTCATAGAGATTGGATTAAGAAGAGATTTCTGAGAATGATTATTTATTAGTGATTTAACATTTCTTATGCCCCTCCCATTTTCCTTTCTCAATTTACATGTGCACATTGCGACTGCATATATGTGTGTGTGTGTGTGTGTGTGTGTGTGTGAGTGTAAACATTTTCTAAGACTGCCATATATATGTGTGTATATCTTTGGTATTAAAATTTCATATGAATATAGTATTCATATATATAATATTCATAGAATTAAACAGCAAAACTGTATACAAAAACAACAGCAAAACTAGGGAGAAGATGGGAAGTCCCAGTCCCTGAACACTTTCTGCAGAACCAGACATGTGTAAGGCACATTTAGCCTCCCTTACTTGAAACATGAAAGCATGTTGCTAACTGCCTTCAGTAACAACATTCCGGTAGAAGGCTTGGTTATGCTAAAAGATTTATTTAACTAAGTAGCATTTTATAAGTTTTGAATTCAGCTCTTTATTCTTGATAAGGCTAAATATTTAACAGAAAAAAATGAAGAGTAAAATAAATTAAAAAATTGAAATATAGAATAAGTGATTTTACCTTTATGGATTTTTTTGGATTTTATTTTCTTATAAAAGTAATACATGGGCTGGGGATGTGGCTCAAGCGGTAGCGTGCTCGCCTGGCATGCACCGGGTGCTGGGTTCGAACCTCAGCACCACATAAAAATAAAATAAAGATGAAAACTAAAAAATAAATATTAAAAAATTCTCTCTCTCTCTTAAAAAAAAGAGTAATACATGTTGAAAAGTATAAAGAAGCAGAGAAAAAAAATCACCCATCCTCCTGCTATCTAGATTATCACCATATATATAGTAATGAAAGATACCTTAGATCATGTTCTTTGTAGCTCCCCTAAAAGTCTAAAATGTCTATGTTTTGGAGACAGTTTTGATTTTTATATGTAATGTTACAGAAAGATGAACATTCTGAATGGTGATAAATTAGGTGCAAATTTGGACCTCCCATTTTCATTGCCGTCATTTTTTTTAGTCATTTTGTTTTTATTCACTAATTTGAGTTCTGTTTGATATTTGTTAAGATAATAAATGTTATCATGAGCATTATATATTCTGACTTTGTGCTGACTATCTGAATTGGAAATATCATGGTCTGAGACCATTTCACGATAAATATGAAATCTATTTAATGACTTTAAGGTATGGAATAAACCCATAGCTCTTAATTTCTTTTAAAATTCAAACAAAACATTATGAACTTTTTTCTCTTAAAGATTGGTTGTGATCGTAGCCAAAGCCTTGTGGACATTTGTAGAGAGAAGCATCTTCAGGCCTTTGTATGTGATGCGTTGGCTATTCCAGTTCGCAGTGGGTCTTGTGATGCCTGCATCTCCGTTGCTGTTATTCACCATTTTTCAACAGCAGTAAGTATTTTTAAAAATATGTTTTTCTTTCTCCAAGATTTTTGTCAGTAAGTGGCAACAAAACTTCATTAACTTATTGATGTTGGACCCTATTTTAGCTTCTCATCTTTTTCCACTACATAATCCATCCTCATTGAAGAGAGCATGTGTGACAAAGATAAGGCTACATCGGAGTTCTGGTTACTTAAACAGAGGCTTAATGGGACTCTATGCTACTATTGCTGTATATTATAGCCTTTTTCTACCCAGGTCACCATTCATTTCTAAATGCCTTCCTTCAGACCCACAGAGTCCCAGAATTTTAGTTGGAAGAGACGTTGAGACTAGGCTTCATGAGTATATATCACTCCTCAGGTTCTTGAGTCTCTTCTCTCTCTTTTCCATTTGTCTTTCTCAGCCTACACCGTTCTTCAGAAATCTGTACTAGTATGTTAACTCTTAAAATGTTTTTAATTTTTCACTTTTACATTGTATGTGAGATTGAGATTTGTACAACCTTTATGGAAATCAGTATGGAGGTTCCTCAAAAGAAGTAGCACTTCACACACATTAGGAATAGAACCACCATATGACCCAATTATACTACTACTTGGTATTTATCTTAAAGAATTAAGGTCATTATATTATAGTGACATATGGGTACCCATGTTTATAGCAGCACAATTCACAATAGGCAAATTATGGAGCCAGCCCCGGTTTCCATCAGTGGATGAATAGATAAAGAAAATGTGGTATATTAGCGTTTTGTTCAGCCATAAAGAAGATTGAAACTATGTCATTTGCAGGAAAATGGATGGAACTTGAGAACATTATGTTAAGCAAAATAAGCTAAGGTTCCGAAAGTCCAGGGTCTTATGTTTTCTCATATGTGGAACCTAGAGAGAAAAAAGGAAAAGAAAGTTGGGAAGGGGGATATCAGGAAAATCAAAGGGAGATAGTAACATAGAGGTAAGTGATCAGGAGGAGAGAGGAGGAGTAAGAAAGGGAAAATCCTGAGAAATTGTATTGGCCAAATCCTATTGTTATATCATGTGTGTGCCTATACAAATATGTTAACACTGAATCCCACTATCATGTACCAATAAAAATATGGCTAAAAATGTTTTAAAAAGTAAAAATATTAAAAACAAACAAAATCTTCTTAAGTTTTAAATAAATGAATTTAATATTTTATGTTTTACTTAAAGGGAAAAAAAAGCTTATTTTTTGTATATTTTGTAAGCATCAGTAGTTCCTCCCCTGATAGAAACAAGAACCATATAGCTTACATTATGGGTCTCTGGCAGATTCAGTAGACTTTACATCCTTACCTGATTTCAATACAAATCAGAAAAACCTCTATGACATTTGTCTCTTCAATTGTTAGCTCTTTATTTTTTAATAGTAACCGGGAGATTCTGCTGGACTGCAGCAAACAGGGTAAGAGGACTATCTTAAAAGAATTAGAAGAATTACTGCAAACAGATAAAGGCTTGTGAGCAACAGTTATACCTGTGAATTTTAAAAAATCCCCTTCATTTGGAAGAAATGTTTGGCACACTTTAGTTCCTTCAGCCACAGCTTACTCTGTGAAAGAGGACTATCTTCAAAGTATGAAAGAAAGTAAAATACACAGGTAATATCTGTATCCATTTTTTTGTAATTGCATGTATATGTTGGACCCTTCCCCTATCTCCTTAGAAATTTGTCATATTCACCTTTCTCTCCATATCTCTTGTTATCTATTTAAAATTCATTCATTGACCATGTACAAAAGAATCAAGTTGGATCCAAGTCCTATAAGAGCCCAAACTATAAAACTCTAAGAAGAAAACATAGGAGAAAATATAAAAGAAAAGTTCTGTGACATTGAGTTTAGTAATGATTTCTTGGTTATGGTTCTAAGAACATGGGCAACAAATGAAAAAAATAGAGAAACTGGACTTTGTCAAAATTAAAACTTATGTGCATCAAACAACACTTATCAAGAGAGAGAAGATGCATCCCATGGAATGGAAAATAATATTTACAAATCGTGTCTGATAGGGAATTAATATCTAAAATATATGCAGAACTCCTAAAATGTGATGACAAAGCAACAAACAACCCAATGGAAAAAAGATGAAGGATTTAAATAGGTATTTTCCATGGCCAATAAGCACATGGAAAAGAGCTCAACATCATGAAACATTAGGAAAGTGCAAATCAAAACTACAGTGCAGTAGCAATTCACACACATTAGGATAGCTATTACCAGAAATATAGAAAATAACTAGTGTTAGCAAGGATGTGGAGAAATTAGAGCCCTTCTGCATTGCTGGTAAAAACAAAATAGTGTAGCCACTGGGGAAAACATTGTGGCAGTTCCTCAGAAAGTTAAACATAGAAATACCATATGATCCAGCAATTCTACTTCTAGATAAATAGCCATTCCCCCCAAAACTGAAAGCATATAGACTTGCAATATTTGTACACCCATGTCCATAGAGCCATTATTCACTATATCCAAAATGTGGAAACAGCTCAGATATCCATTGATGGATGACTGTGTGAACAAAATGTAATCTATATACATATAGTGGAATATTGAATATTATTCAGATTGAAAAGGGAAGGAAATTCTGATACATGCTACAATGTAACTGAACCTTAAGGACATTATACTAAGTGAAATAAGCCAGACAGAAATGGAAAAATATTTTGAAGTACTTACATGCAGTACCTAGAAAAGTTAAATTCATAGAGACAGAAAGTACTACAGTGATTCTCAGATGCTGGGGAAGTTAGAATGGGGAGTTATTATTTACCTTGTATAGAGTTTCAGTTTGGTTTGAGTTTCAGTTTGGTGATGGACAGTGATGATGGTTATACAACAGTGTAAGTGTAATTAACATCACTAATTTGTGTACACTTAAAATGATTAAAATGGCAAATTTTACATCTTGTGTTTTTTTACCACCATAAAAACTAATTCATTGAAAATTAGTTATATGCTGGTATTAAACAAGTGCCTGGGAATACAAATGGTGAAGTCCAAGTCTCTGCATTCATAGAGTTCATAGTCAAGTGGAGGAGGTAACACTGATTTATGTGTTGGTTGGTTTGGATTTTATGTTGCTGATTGAGTGCCATAGTAGTGATTTTGATTTTTAGAGACATTGAAAGATCTTACAAATGGTAGTGCCTTGATCAGATATATGCCATATAGGGATCATTCTTAGAGCACTGTGGAAGGTGGTTTAAGATAGGAGGCAAGACTGAATATAGAAAGGCTATTTTGACAGTCCAAGTATCTGGAGACAATAAGAGCATTGAAGTTTTAGTAGAAGAATTCTATTGCCCTCTACTTCATTCCTTCACCACTTTAGTTTTCTTTCCTGCCTGATCCCAGTATATGTCATTTTTAATCCATTATGGGTCTTTGGCAGATTCAGTACATTCTGTACATTCTGACTTCAGCATTCTCCTCCCTAATGTAACTACTTCTACCATTTTGTATTCTTTTTACCTTCTGAATACTTAGGTCTCTGAATACTTAGGTTGCTCATCTGTAAAATAAGATGACAATAGCCTATCTCATAAGGTTGTTGTCAGAATAAATGAAACAATGCATAAATTCCTATCTTAGTGTCTTGTATGTTGTAAGAGCTCAGTAAATGTTATTGTTTTATTTTATATTCAATAAAATGATCTCATCTTGTATTTTCAGCTTGATTTCACAATATTTCCCAACTCCTAGACCCACCCTGGAAAAATTCTCACAGTTTTCTTCTATTAACTCTATAAATTATTCATGCTAAAGGTGCTTCCTCCTCTTTTAACATATAATCTGAGGTTATTTCTTGGGCTTTTGGGCCATTATGAATAACCCATTGCATGTTAGAATTGTGTGTTACTTTGACAATTTGACATTATCTGAGGCTAAGGAATCAGTAAGATCAATTTCTTTTTATCAAAGAGCACACGCATATTTGTAAACATTTCCAGTCTCAGTTCTTTTGTTTGCTAGCCTTATAACCTTAATGCAGTTTATTATTATATTTTTCCTCCTCTGTAAGTTTGCTGGTTAGATGCTATTTTTTCAGTGGTTGACATAGGCATTGTAGTATGTTTCCATGACCTTATTGTCTACCTTCAGTTGGTATGTTTACCCTTCCTAACATTGTGAGACTCTGATTAACCAAAGTTTTAGAGGGTTTAGATTTCTATTGCTTGAAGAATCCTTATTTTTTTTAAGTATAGGTATATTGATGACAAACTTTCTCACGTTTTGCAAATATGAAATCTTTATATTTTGTCTTTATTTTAAAAAAGATTATAACTAGGCTTGAATTCTAGAATGATAATATTTCTATGTTTTCTATCCCTGTGTTTTAATCTGGGAAATTTGTTCTAGTCTGAATTCTAATTCAATAATTCTTTGTTGCAGTGTATCTAATTTGCTGTTAAATAATCTATTGCTTTTTTCTGTTATAGAATTTTTGTCTGACTTCTTAATATATTTTAATGTATTTTATGTCTTTACTGAAGTTCCTTCTTTCTATTTTTATGAATGTATTAACCACAGTAATTTTGAAGTCTTTGGGGGTTTACTTCTATGGTCTTCTTTTGCTCTGATTTTCAGTCATTTGGTCATGATTGATTTTAACATACCTTATAATTTTTTATTGGATGCTGGACATTTTGTATTAAAAGATTTGGATATTTTATCTTTCTCCAAAAAGGATTAAATTATGGCAAGCTGATAAATATAAGCAGATCACTTTAATTCTGTAAAGGATTGGTTTTATGCTTCACTAGAGCTGATTTATGCCTTTTTTTTCACCCCCTCTCCCTTTCTAGAATATGGCCCTTCTTGGTCTCAAGCAAAAGCCTGGGTTATATTCCAAGATCATTACCCCATGGTGGACTGTGAAATCCATTGACTTTCTCTCTAGCCTTGTTTGGCTACTTAAATTCTGTTTAGCTTTTTAATTTCCTAGCTGCCTTTCTGCTGAGTTCTTGGAATTTCACCCAGTGCTCATGCAACTTAGGAATTTGTAAGTCCTTCTAGATGAGTTTGCATATAGATTTTCAGAATCACTTCCTAGCAGTTCCTTTACCTATGATTCTGTCTCCCAATTCTCATCTGCTTTAACTTCCCTGTATTCCAAGCCTTATTTCCTCAGGCCAGTGAGATTTCTGCTTTCTGATTATATTTTATTCTCCCACCCTGTGAATTATCAAATTCTCTGAGGGATTATAGCCTGTCAGGTCCACCTTCCAGAGTTGATCTTCAGTACCTTTAAGTAGCTGTTTTATGTGTAGATGAGCATCCCTAATCTAAAAATCAGAAATGCTCCAAAACTTGAAATGTTTGAACACTAACATGATGCCACTCCACACCAGACTTCACATGATGGGTTGCTGACATGATACAAGGCACACTAAAAGTATCATATAAAATTGCCTTCAGGCTATGTGTATAAAGACTATATGAAACCTAAATGAATTTCATATTTAGGCTTGGGCTTCATCCTCAAGACACTTCATTATATATATGAAAATATTTCAGAATCCAAAAATCTGGTCCCAAGCATTTCAGATAGGAGCTAATCAACCTGTATTTCATCCAGCCTTTGTGATTATTTTCAGTGGGAGAATTAATACAAACTATTTCATCAAGACTGTAAGTAGAAGTCTCTATAATCTATCTTGGGTGATATTTTGTAAATATAAATGTAATGATTCCCCTAAAAGTGCCTCATATTACCACTTGTAACTCTAAATCTGTTGTTTCCATGTGTCCAGCCAATTAAGGAAAGTCATGGGGGAAATTAACAAAAGGCACAGAACAAAATGCCCCTTCCTTTTTATCTTTTTTGTGTTTATATAAAACATTTTGTTAGATTTTCTTATTGATCATTGTAGTTGAAAACAGGCCTACAGTTAGTTTTATTTTTACATTTCCACTCTATGTCTCCTCCAGGTTCTTAAATGGCAATGTGTGCATGTGTGGTTTGTTTGTTTGTTTTTTAGGAGCGTAGAGTGGCAGCTCTCCAAGAACTTGTTCGACTCTTGAGACCTGGAGGGAAGGCACTCATTTATGTCTGGGCAATGGAACAAGAATATAATAACCAGAAGTCCAAATATCTTAAAGAAAACAAAATTAGCCAAGGAAAGAAAGAGATCAGTGATACATCTGTGCAAAGGCAGCTTGTGGAGCAAATGCCTAATGCGAACAGTCAAGACTCAGCAGCTTCTGTCCCCTCCATTCAGGAGGGAGGATGCAATTCAAGGAAAGTCACTAATTCTGAGCTGCCTATACACACCAACAGGACTACTTTTCATTCTCAAGATGTACTGGTTCCCTGGCACCTTAAAGGAAACCTTGGTAAAGACAAACCTGTTGAGCCATTTGGTCCAATAAGATCTCATGACCCAGGTTCTGTGTTCCATCGTTACTATCATGTGTTCTGTGATGGAGAATTGGAAGCTGCCTGCCAGACTTTGAGTAATGTCAGCATTCTGCAAAGCTACTATGATCAAGGAAACTGGTGTGTGATTCTTCAGAAGATCTGAATATTTATGTGAACATATTTTATGTAGAGAATAAACTTTAAAAAAAAGGAGACTAAATTAATTGTCCTTTTAATTAAAGTGAAAACTTGTGGTGAAGTACCAAAGGAGAAATCCTGAGAGAAATTTGGAAATAGAGATTGCTTAGGAAACATTTGATCTGCTACTTTGACTTCATAAATGTAGGCTCTTCCTACATCCCTACTCAGGATGGTGTTTAAAAGTGATTCAAGTAATTTGCGAAGTATTTGAGATTCTCATGTAAGAGTACAGCAATTTGAAGATGATATTTTATTATAAATGTTATTAAAGAACCTGAATTATGTTGAATCTTATTGAAGTAATTATATAATATTTTAATAAAGAAACTATTCTTGGTCAATAGAAAATTATCTTAAGTTTTATCTACAGTTCTTTTTTTTAAATTTGTTCTAATTATACATGATGGTAGCACTCATTTTGACACATCATACATAAAATGGAGTATAACTTCTCATTTGTCTGCTTGTACATGATGTGGAATTACACAGGTAGTGTAATCATAAATGCACATAGGATAATGTCCAATTCATTCTATTATTTTTCTTTACCCATTCCCCTTCCCTTCATTTGCCTCTGTCTAATCCAAAGTACCTCTATTCTTCCCTAACATTTCCCCTTATTATGAATTAGCTTCTGCATATCAGAGAAAACATTTGGCCTTTGGTTCTTTGGGATTGGCTTACTTTACTTAGTATGATACTCTCCAGTTCCATCCATTTAGCAGCAAATGCCAAATTTCACTTTTCTTTAAAGCTGAGTAATATTCCATTGTGTGTATACACTAAATTTTCTTTATTCATTTATCTGTTGAAGGGCACCTAGGCTGGTTCCATAGTCTAGCTATTGTGAGTTGAGCTGCTATAAACATTGATGTGGCAGCATCTCTGTAGTATGCATAGATTTGAAGTCCTTTGAGTTTAAGCCAAGAAGTGGGATAACTGGGTCAAATGGTGGTTCCATTCCAAGTTTTCTGAGGAATTTCCATAGTTGTGCCAATTTGCAGTCCTATCAGCAATGTATCAGTGTACCTTTTTTTCCACATCCTCGCCAACATTTATTTTTGCTTGCATTCTTGATAATTGCCATTCTGAATGGAGTGAGATGAAATCTTAGTAGTTTTGATTTGCATTTCTCTAATTGCTAGAGATATGAACATTTTTTTCATATGTTTGTCAATTTATTGTATTTCTTCTTTTGTGAAGTGTCTCTGTTCAGTTCCTTAGCCCATTTATTAATTGGGTTGTTTGGGGTTTTTTTTGGTATTAAGTTTTTTGAGTTTTTTATATATCCTGGAGATTAGTGCTATATCTGATATGCATGTGGTAAAAATTTGCTCCCACACTGTAGGCTCTCTTTTTACCTTAGTGATTGTTTTGCTGAGAAGAAGCTTTTTAGTTTGAATACATCCCATTTATTATTATTTTTATTTTATTTCTTGCACTTTAGAAATCTTGTTAAGGAAGTCAGGTCCTAATCTAACTTGGTGAAGATTTAGGCCTACTTTTTCTTCTATTAGGTTCAGGGTCTCTTGTCTTAATTCCTGGGTCCTTGATCTACTTTCAGTTGAGTGAGAGATAGGGGTTTAATTTTATTTTGTTGCATATGGATTTCCAGTTTTCCCAGCACCATTTGTTGAAGAGGCTGTCTTTCCTTCAATGTATGCCTTTGTCTAGTACGAGATAACTATATTTATATGGGTTTGTCTCTGTGTCTTCTATTCTATACCTTTGGTCTGTGTGTCGGTTTTGGTGCCAATGCCATGTTTTTTTTTTTTTTTTTTCTTTTTCTTTTTTTGTTATTGTTACAATAGCTCTGTAACATAATTTAAGGTCTTTTATTGTGATGCCTCCTATTTTACTTTTCTTGCTAAGTATTGCTTTGGCTATTCTGGATCTCTTATTTTTCCAAATGAATTTCATGATTGCTTTTTGTATTTCTATGAAGAATGTTATTGGGATTTTAATAGGAATTGCATTAAATCTTTGTAATGCTTTTGGTAGTATGACCATTTTGACAATGTTAATTCTGCCTATCCAAGAACATGGGAGATCTTTCCATCTTCTAAGTTCTTCTTTAATTTCTTTCTTTAGAATTCTAAGTTTTCACTGTAGAAATCTTCCATGTTTTTTGTTAGATTGATTCCCAGAAAATTTTTTGAGGCTATTTTGAATTGGATAGTTTTCCTAATTTCTCTTTCAATGGATTCATCACTGATGTATAGAGGTACATTTTATTTGTGGGTGTTGATTTTGTATCCTGCTACTTTGCTGAATTCATTTATTCTAGAAGTTTTCTGGTGGACGTTTTTGGATCTTCTAAATACAGAATCATGTTGTTGGCAAATAGTGATACTAGTTTGAGTTCTTCTTTTCCTATTTGTATCCCTTTAATTTCTTCCTTCTAATTGCTCTAGCCAGAGTTTCAAGGATGATGTTGAATAAAAGTGGTGAAAATTCTTGTCTTGTTCCAGTTTTTAAAGGGAATGCTTTCAATTTTTTCTCCATTTAGAATGATGTTACCCTTGGGTTTAGCATAGATAGCTTTTACAATGTTTGAGGTATATTCCTGCTATCCTAGTTTTTCTAGTGTTTTGAACATGTAGGGGTGGGTGTTGTATTTTGTCAAATGCATTTTCTGCATCTACTGAGATAATTATATGATTCTTGTCTTTAAGTCTATTGATGTGCTGAATTATGTTTATTGATTTCCATATGTTGAACTAGCTTTGCATCCCTGGAATCAACCCCACTTGATCATGGTGCACTATCTTTTTAATACATTTACGTATGCAGTTTGCCAGAATTTTATTGAGAATTTTTGCATCTATGTTCATCAGGGATATTGGTCTGAAGCTTTGTATTTCATGGAATAATTTGAGAAGTATTGGTGTTAATTCTTCTTTGAAGGTCTTTTAGAACCTTGACTAAGAATCCATCTGGTCCGGAGCTTTTCTTAGTAGGCTTTTGATGGTGTCTTTTATTTTATTGCTTGAAATTGATCTGTTTAAATTGTGTTAAGTCCTCCTAATTCAGTTTGGGTAGGTCACATGTCTCTATAAATTTGTCAATGTCTTCAAGATTTTCTGTTTTATTGGAGTATAAATTTTCAAAATAGTTTTTGATTATCTTCTGTATTTCAGTAGCGTCCATTGTGATATTTCCTTTTTCATCACAAATTTTAGTAATTTGAATTTTCTCTTTGTTAGCATAGCTAGGGGGTTTATCAATTTTATTTATTTTTTCAAAGAACCAACTTTTTGTTTTGTCAGTTTTTTGAATTGTTTCTTTTGTTTCAATTTTGTTGATTTCAGCTCTGATTTTAATTATTTCCTGTCTTCTGCTTTGGGTGTTGATTTGTTCTTTTTCTTGGAATTTGAGATGTAATGTTAAGTTATATTTTTATTGACTTTTTTCTTTTAATGAATAAGCTCAATGCAATAATCTTTCCTCACTACCTTCATAGTATCCCAGAGATTTTGATGTTATGTTGCAATTCTCACTTACTTCTAAGTATAGTTTTATTTCATCCCCGATTTGTTCTGCTATCCATTCCTCATTCATTAGAATATCATTTAGTCCTCCAGGTGTTAGGAGTATCTTCTATTTTTTATTTTATCGTTGATTTCTAATTTCACTCCATTATGATCTGATAGAATGTAAGGTATTATCTCTGGGTTTTTTTTTGGTATTTTCTAGGAGTTGCTTTGTGGCCTAAGATAGGATCTGTTTTAGAAAAGGATCCATGTACTGCTGAGAAGTCTTATTCATTCATTGATGGATGAGAAATATTCTATATGTCTGTTACATCAATTATTGATTGTATTATTTAGTTCTATAGTTTATTTAGTTTTTGTCTGGAGGATCTATCCAGTGTTGAGAGAGGTGTGTGAAAGTCACTCAGTATTATTGTGTTGTGGTCTGTTTGATTTTTAAAATTGAGAAGGGTTAGCTTGTTGTATTTAGATTCTCCATGTTTGGGGCATAGATATTTATAATCATTATGTCTTATTGATGTACAATTCTTTTAAACATTATGAAATGTCCTTCTTTGACCCTTCTGATTAACTTTGGTTTGAAGTCCACTTATTTGATATGGGGATAGAAACTCCTGCTTATTTACAGAGTTCATGTAAATGATATGATTTTTCCCATCCTTTCACTTCAGTCTGTGGATGTCTTTGCCCATCAGGTGAGTCTCTTGGAGACAGCATATAGTTGGGTCTTGTTTTTTAATCCAATCTGCCAGTCTATGTCTATGGATTGATGGGTTTAGGCCATTAAAGTTCAAGGTTATTATTGAGGTATGAGTCATTTTGGTTTATTTCTGGGTTGTAATTTGAATTAGTTTCTCCTTTGATTGACTATTTCTTCAGTGTTGTTTCTCCCTTTGCTAGTTTTCACTTTTTTTTTTTAATCCATTTCATCTTTTTTGTTGAGAAGTTGTATAGTGCAGGCTTTCTAGTTGTGAATTCTTTTAATTTTTGTTTATCATAGAAGTTTTTTTATTTCATCTTCTAATCTGAAGCTTATTTTTGCTGGATAAAATTATTGGTTGGCATCCATTTTCTTTCAGAGCTTGGAATACAAGACTGCCCAGCTTTGAGGGTCTGGGCTGAGAAATCAGATGAGATCCAAATTGGTTTCCCCCTAAATGTACTCTGATATTTTCTTTTGCAGCCTTTAAAATTCTACCCTTCTTCTCTATTTTTAGACATTTTCATTATAATGTGCCTTGGTGTGAGTCTGTAGTAATTTTGTATATTTGGGATCCTATAAGACTCTAATATTTGATTTTCCATTTTATTCTTTGGGAAATTTTCTGATATTATTTTATTGGTGTATACCTCCACACCTTCATCTATCCCAATAAGTCTTAAATTTGGTCTTTTGATGTTATCCCATAATTGTTGGGAGTTCTGTTCCTGGTTTCTTAACTACTTCTCTCCATGGTCAACTTTATTTTCAAGATTACATATTTTGTCTTCATTGCTTGAGATTCTGTCTTCCCTGTGGTCTGTTGGTGATGCTTTTCATTGAATTTTTAATTTGGATTATTGATTCCTTCACTTTGAGGATTTCTGCATGATTTCTTTTCAGAATCTCTATATCTTTATTGAAATGATCTTTCACTTCCTGAATTGTATCTCCGATTTTATTTCTTACATCGTCCTTTATGTTGTGGATCAGTTTAACTGTGTACATTCTAAACTCCTTCTCTGTCATTTCTTCTACTGTGTTGTCAATGGATTCTATTATTGGAGCATCTTGGTTTGTTTGGGTGATTTGTTCCCTTGTTTTTTTTTTTGCATTTATTTTTTAGTTGTACGTTGACACAATACATCTATTTTATTTTTATGTGATGCTAAGTATTGAATTCA